ATTTTTAAAATTTCCGATGAAACAAACTTAGCAACATTTATTTCGAGAAAATATTAATATTAATAAATAAATCGTAGTCAAAGTAGAATATGTGGATGATATTAAATTCAACATGTTGCACTTATATTTAAGAATGAAGATTGTATTAAGATAATATTTAGTACCACACATAAAAAATCACACTTCAAAATTTTCAATATAATAAATATCTCAAGAACACAAATACAGAGTATAAGGTTTACATACTACAAAAACAAGAATTAAAAAGAAATTGATTGATAAAAAGAAATGATTACAGTAAATTGAAATTATGCAGCTAATGAATGTTGTTGGATATACTTTAATATTTCCTCAAGTTCACAACAAGCGAACTTAACTTCAAAGCTCCTAAAGGGGAAGTCTCCGCCTTGCCCTCCTGTATTATGCTTCAAAATTTCCCACACCGAAAAAAGAAGCGGATACCTCCTTCCAACATCTCTATAAAATCATATAGCTAGGCGACAAAGAGCAAATGGGGTCCTTGCAAGCCTGCACGGTAGGGGGCCTCCTCACCTAGTCAAAAACTTATTTTATTTTAGGGTCCGATTAATTCAGACGCCTTTTTGCACGCCTATATGGTATGTGAGGCGTTCCACCGGCGCATCAAGCTTAGGCGCGCCTAGGCGGCGCCTTTGTGCGCCTTTTAGAACACTGCTAACAGGTAGGTAGGCTTTCGACTGGACTGGCAGGCTACTGACTCGGCTGGTGCCTGGTAGGCAAACTTCCGACTGGACTAGCAGGCCATCTTGGACTTCCGCCTTGTTGGACTTACTTTCATTGGTCGGTTGGATCGGTCGGAGTTCCTTGTTTGCTGCACCCGTTAGTCGGGCTGACCTGGTGAAACATCGGGCCTGGGCTGCTTGCCTAGGGCCTGGACTCAAGTGTCCAAGTCTGGGGTTTAAGCCTATTAGCTCTGGGCCTAGTCCCATCAACCTCTATCAATAGAGACGTTAAGAAAGCCTCTATGAGAGGAAAAATTGTTCTAGTTAAAAGATAAACTATTTTTATTGATGAAATCTTATTTTGATATTTAAAGTTAATTTATACTTTCAAGATTGATAGAAAATATTTAAATATTTAATCTGATAAATATTTAAAAAAATTGAGTTCTCAGTTATTATAGTTAATATTTAATTTAATTGTCGTGTTTTCAAAATTCACAATGATATATTATTATAGTTCAATTGCAGAAACTTTTTAAAATTATTTTTATTCTAAAAGGATCACCCCTGCAAATCTTCGTTGCTTTGGTTCATTTTCCGCATTTTCAATTTTGAATTCATCATCTGCTAAATCTATTATGGTGGATTATGTTTCAATCCCAAATTTGATCTGATGTAATATGTGAGCTGTACTTAGCACCCCTAGATTATGATCATTTGTATGATTACAAAGGAAAGAAAATATAGTTTGATAGATTCCAAGTTGATGCTATCTGAAGTCTGAACGTAGTTTGAATAGTTTCAAGCTTGAAGCTCAAATCGAGCCAAACCCTTCCAAGTATGATGCTCAAATCGAGCCAAATCCTTGTCTTGTTTTAAAAACATATTCCCTTTCTCCTCCTATATTTGTCTCATTTATCTTTTTCGCCTGTTCACTAAATTTATCTCATACGGAGTATTATATTTGGTAATATTTGGGTGGTTGCAATTTATTTATCTCAATATGGATCAAATGAATTCCACTTTTTTTAACAACACCGCTCCCTCTTATCACAATCTTAGGGGGCAGAGGTAGTAAAACTAATGATTTTGGGGCAATGATATTGAAGTTGATTGTGTTTTGTGTGAAGGAAAAAAGAAAATGAAGAAGGGGATTCATCCTCAGTTGCAGTGGATATCATATGTGACCCAGAGCGGTAGATTGATGCCCGTAATGATGACCAAGATACACCAAGTGGGCAAGGTCTATCACTTCCGTGCAAGGCGTCAGATGGCTGAGAGCATTGGCCAAATTGCCAAGTTCAAACGTCGTTATGAGAAGAAGGAAGAGGAGATCAACAATGAGAACTGATCATCATTTTGGGCTTTCCTAAAATAGAAGAAAAAACACTTATAATATTTCCATTGGAAGAATATATGCTACATTCCTCTGTTTCCATAATTTTACCATTGGTTTTAGTTTGAATAACGCGATTTTGGCTGCTTGGCTTTTACTATTTGAACAAGCAGTATGCCAGTATTATTGTTTAATAGTTGCAAGTTTTTTTGCTTTAATTTGTGAAAGAGGCCCAATTATGGGGTTTTTCCCTTAATAGTACTAAATTAAGGCTGTTTTACAAAAAAGTGACCATATTTACATTTAGACAAAAATGGTACTAATGCACAGTTACACTTGCGTAGTGACATTTCCAAATATAATCTCCGCAGTGACATCTCCGCCATCACCGACCACAGTGACATCTCCTCTGCCATGACATGTGTCACTGACGTCACTGCTGCTGCCACAGGTTGTTGCCGTTGCCGCCGCCGCCGCCAGAGGTCACCGCCAACGTCGCCGATCACCGCCGTCAGTCACAGTGACAACTCCGCAGTGACAACTCTGCGTGTGACCACACACCATAGTGACGCCTCCAGATCACCGCCACCGGCCACAGTGACAAGTTTGTGGTGACATCTTCGTAGTGACAATTTTACAGTGACATACAAATTACTCCGGCCACCGCCCTCCGGTAAGTTTCCACGCCACCACCACATTCTACCACCACCACCACCGCCGCGCCATTGCCGCATTCCACCACTACACCGCCGCACCACGTGACCCAAGCGCCGCCCAAACAACCACCTACCCCCTTGCCTCACCCGAGGCCCCAGCAGCCCCAACACCACCAGATCTGAAATAGGGAGGTGGATTGAGACCGATGAAGCTAGAGAACAAGAAGAAGAAGGTATCGTGCAACGATGAAGAAGAAGGCGACTAACCCTAGCCAAAAATAGGGCGGCGGCGGCGGCGGAATCGCCACCGCAGCGACCTTGACAGTCGTTGGAGGCGAGGCGTAGGGAGAAGACATGGGCGAGGGCGGCGGCGGTCTATCTACCCTGTCCGCGAAGGTGATGGCGGCGGCTTTGGGGGTTGTGTCCTCTGCTCCTGCGAGTCTGCGACGGCCTGGGGGCGGAGATGTTTTCTCTGCTTCCTCGATGGCTTGGGGAGCTCCTTGGTCGATGGTGTGGAATTGGCTTCAGAGATAAAAATGGGCTGGATTGATGGGCCGAGTAAGTCTTATTTTTGGAATAAAGGAAAAGTAGTCTCTTTTTTGTATTTCACAAAGCTATTAGTATTATTTGTGTCCTTATTCCCCCAATTATTGGCTGGGAATGTTTTTGGCTAGCCTAATTTGACCACACTTTGTGATCAGTTCAGTAATTTAACCACGTAGTAATGTAGTATGATTTTTATTCTCATTCTTCTTCCAATCTTCCCTAATCTTCCTCCCATCTATCACTTTTCCTGTAAAAAGTACTCTGTATATGTCAATTTTTCGTTTTATTTGTTACATTTCCCTGATTTTTTTTTTCATTTTTCCACTAGTTTTTTTTTATCACAGATAGTCTTTTTCTATTACTCCGTATTGATGAAATTAATGGGTGGACTTCTTTAGAAAAATACCTTAATGAGGAAGGGAGAAAAAAATGATGGAGGACTTGAAGTAACAAGAATTAAAAAAGGGTAAAAAGTGAGAAATAAAATATAGCAAAAAGTATAATGGGAAAAAGATCTTGCATCGAGAAATGAAATCAAAATGCAGTAACATGAAGAAAAAAAAGCAAATAAAATTAACCCAAGAAGGGAATTTTAACTGCGTATCTTGTAATGAAGATTAGGCAATATACGATCTCTACAGACTACAAACCACACCAACCAAGCAATACACAATTTCAAACATACGTGAGAATACGGTTTTTTTTTTTTTCTTTTTTTCTTTTTTACTCCAGGGGATCTGGGGAGAGGGCTGGGGAGGGGGGCCTGGAGTAATCAAGGTTGAAACTCACTCCATTGAGTTTCACACTCTTATGGGCCTAGCGGGTTTCGAACTCAAGACCTCCCAGGCTCCCAGACTCCCACTAAGCACGGACGCACGGTAACTTCAAAACCAGCTGGGCTGGAATGTTTGGTTGAATACGGATGTTTTTTTTGGATTGTTTTCAGTCTCAGACCAGTTCAGGCGACCAAATCTCTGTAATTATAAAATACACAGAAATCAGACATTTACCGAACTAGACCAGCCCATATCAGACAAGCAAATTTCAGTCTAAAAGAAAAATATTATAGAACCAAAATAAGGCATTTCAAGCGCAAATAAGAACCGGTATTCATAACAACTAGGGATGGACTCGGGCCGGGCCAACCAACCCGGAACCGGACCGGCCCGCTACTGTGCGGGCCCGGACCGGCCCGGTGAACCGGTTTGTGCCCGGTTCGGGCCACCCGGCCCGGTGGTATAGCGGTCCGGGCCCGGGCCTCCAGTTTAGTGAACTGGCCCGGCCCGGCCCGGCCCGGTTCGGGCCGGAATTTAATTTTTTTTTTTTTTTGAATTTTTTTTAAGTTTTGGGTTGGATTAGGTATTTTGGGCCATTTGAGGTGGTTTAAGGTGGTTTGGGGTGGAGGGGGAGGGGTAGGGGGTTAAATAGGAGAAGAAAAAAAAAATTAAAAATCCGGGTGGCCCGGCCCGGCCCGGTCTGGCCCGGAACCGCCCACCACCGGTTCGGGCTCGGGCCTCATTTTTCTGAACCGAGGCCCGGCCGGGTCCAGGCCCGAACCGGGCCCGAACCGGAACCGGTCCACCCCTAATAACAAATTAACAACCCATAACCTTTTAGAACTTAGGGAACCTTGCTTTTAACTACTCAATCCTCCTGCACAATATTAGTCTGCACAACTAAAAACATAACATTGTATTTATAGTAAATTACAATATTACACTCATTTATTCAACTTTAGGTATCGTGTTACTTTACAAAGCTGCAAAATCACCAATTCCACAAAGACCTGGTCAAGAGCGAAACCATGAAAGAATGCAAAAATAGGTTATCACACCTACAGCTACAGAACACAAAAAATACTGAATTTCTCCAACCAGAAGCCCTAGCCCAAACTGCCAAAGGGTAGCAGTTTACAAAATTACCAAATCACGTCTTTTTTTTTTTAGCAAAATCACCAAATCACGTCTTTTTTTAAAGAAAACTATCCAATTTATAAAATTAAATCATTTGCCAAATGGCTTACACTGTAAGACGGCGGCGAACAGAAATTTACTTCGGTTTCGCCCAAAGGAATTGCAAAACAAGCAAAAGTATGAGCTACTCTATTCGCTACTCTACTACACCATTGGACCTGAATATTTGAATCCTCGCTCATTATTTTCTTTATGTCACCATAGATGACCCCAATCTGGGCCACAACCGAATCGCCATTAATTCCCGCTAAAACCAAGGCCACATCTGTCTCGATCACCGTTTTACTCCACCCATTCTCACAAGCCCATAAAATAGCTTCCCTCACTCCCCAAGCCTCAGCTACTTCCGGAGACCAAGCTAATTTGCCAACACGAGTCTGTGCTTTTATGAATTCTCCCTCGTAATTCCGATTCACCCGTCCCCAAGCCCACAAACCTGTTCTTGGATTATGTGCTGCATCCACATTGATCTTTATCTGGTTCGCCTCAGGCCGTTTCCACTTTCTATTCCTCTGCCGCTTCCCAGAAACCTCCCAGCTGCTACCCTCCTCTTCATGGGCAGCCTTCCAACTCAGTAGCAAAGCTACTGCTACTCGTCTCACACCTTCACCGGAGGGCTCACCCTTCCACACAAGCCCATTCCTAACCTTCCGTATGCTCCACAAAAGCATAATAACTCTACAAATTTCTCCAGTAGCTAACTTGTCAAAAATCAGCCGCAACCATTTTGTAAATGATCGATCCTCCAGCAGCGAAAAGAGACCCTCATCCTCCCAAATTTATCTCGATACCTGGCACTTCAAAAACAGGTGTGTCACAGTTTCTTCCTGGCAGTTGCATATAGGGCAGCAGCACGCCTTTGAATGCTCTTCTCGTATATACTCAGCAAAAAACACAAAAGAGACAGGCCATAGCATGGGTGTTGAAACCTATGATACCTGAACATTGCATAGGGAAACTTGAAGCTTCAATTATGTTTTTTAATAAGCACAACACATACTGCCTGCTAACAGAAGAGATTCATCCAAAAATACATGAAGCAAGAAACATATACAACATCAAGACAATCGAATAAGACAGATTTCAATAGAGACCGATTAAAGCTCAATTGGGAACAGAGGTCAGCTGCATGTCAAGACAAGACATAATTAGTGGCATGAAAAGAAAACAGATTGTAAAATTGCATCTTATAGAAATAGAACTAATAAAAACTTCCCATAAGCTTCAGTGGTACCTTACCAAGTTGCGAATTCTGTAAAAGTCAGAATGAGGATTACCATACCATCAGCTCAAAGACATTTAAAATTTAAAAAAAAAACTCAAAAAGCACTGTTAGGGGTACATATGAAATAAAATCTCAAAAACTAACATAACAGTAAGAACAAAGCCCTAGATATTCATCTCTTTCTGCCACCACGTTCTCTGAGTGAAAGATTGAGTGTTTCTCCAGAAAAAACATTGTAATAGGCAAGCGACAAGTTGTCCTTGAGAAAACCAGCCTTCCCACTCAGCTTCTGCTTGTTTGAAGGAAGCTGGATCTCACCAGATATCTTCTCCTTCAAACTGCCAATAGTTTCAGACAAGGACTGCACTGAAATTTCCAATACCTGGCCTTTGAGGTTTCCCTCATCAACATTGGGTACAGTAATGCTGATACGGGCAGGTCCCTGCAAAAAAAACGGAAAAGAAAACAAAACACTGTCTATTAGCAATCACTAGACAAAATGAGAATAGAATGTAAGAAAGAAGACAAAATAAATAGATGTACGCACCGAATGCTTGGCCAGGAACTGGTCCTCAGGAATGAGTATAGACTCATCAAGCTTTTGCCTTTTAGGCTCTGGTTCCTCTGGAAGTGGTGGAGCTTCTTCGGGCGGAGGTGGTGGAGGCATTCCATGGGGTAGCATTGGAGGTGGTGGAACCACATTCATTCCAGATTGGGACATGGGATGGGGAACAAAAGATGGTCGAGGAGGACCCATAGGTGTATATTGAGAGCCAGGTGGTAATGGTACCGAAATGTTGGGAGCACTGATGGGCATTGATGTGTGCATTGGGGGACGGTTAACCATAAGATGCTGCCCAGACATGGGTGAGTTGGTAGGGTGTGGGGGTTGCAACTGTGGGATTGTGTTAATCACAGGAGGCCTGGGAAGAGGTGGAACAATAACCCCAGGGGTACCATGAGTTGGATAGAGGTAAGTATTAGGAGCGCGAGGGATGTTTAATGCCAGACCAGGTGGTGGGGGAAGTGGTCGAACTGATGGCAACCCAGGCCTGGGAGGAGGTGGTGCTTGTGGGCCCGGAAGATTCCTTGCATCATTTACAAAATCATACTGATCTTCTGCACTGTTTTGGGACAATGCCTGGCTAGCTGTACGACCAATGCTTCCAGTGTGACCATCCCATATGACCTGTTTTGGCTCTTCCTTTTTCTTCTCGATCTCGGCCTTGACTGCATTTGACACTTCTTCTTCTGTGGTTCCAAAAATATCGGGACGTGTCCTAGCGAGCCCAACAATGTTTCTAGAAATTTCATCATCCTGAGCAAGGGTTGTGTCCCTAATCTTCGCGAACATTCTCTCTTTCTGCTCCTTGTATTTAGGATCAATAAGAGAGATCCTCATATGCTCAGACATCTCACTGATCAGAATCATCTCCCCGGTTATAGGAGAAATGACATACTTTGTTGGATCTCTTTCTGGAAGGGACCTCTCTTCAGGCCTTTTCCAGTTTTTCACAATTCTCATGGGCGGATCATGATCCTCTGTTATTGCCTTAATTTCAGAATTCTGGACAGAGTTGTCCTCAATGGTAGTGGCTCTCATGCCTTCTTCAACGAGTTGAACCTCTTCCTCATCCATCTCCATTTCTACTTCTTTCCCTGGCTCAACAAAATCTTCCTCCTCATCCATCGATGACATCTTGCTCCTCCTGATAACCTCCTCAAGGGTCATAGGAGGGGGTAAATCATGATCCTCATCATCAGCAAAATCTATAGTCTCGACCACAACAAAATCATGCCAATCGATCATAGCCATTTGCAGTCTCTCGGATTCTATTTCATCTTCAGCTTTCTGTCTAGCCTGTTCCTGTGACCTTTCCCATTCCAACCGATTTAGGCACCGTTCAAGTACAGTCGTCATGTCAGCAGCACTCTTCTTCAGTTTATCAGTCAAGCCTTTAGGAGGCATTAGGACCTTTGAGTACGCATCTGCCAGTGATGTGAAAAACATAAACATGCTATGTGTAGGCTTCAGAAACTGAAATAGAGAATTGTTGATCTCTCTACTGGTCAACCCTGTCAGAAAAGACTTCCCGTTCCTTGCTACAAACTGCGCAGTGAGCTTAATGATATCCAATTCCTCTCCTGTGATCCCCTCAGGAAGCCGAACAGTATACTGTTCCGCTTCTGGTGGTTCAAGAACCTTGCGAACGGGTCTGAACTGTGCAGATGGGTCGGGCCTTGCCATTGCATCAATGGCATCAGATGAAGGTGCAGAAGGGGCTGATTCTGAAGCATCTGAATCGGCTATCTTTGAAGGAAGCTGCTGACCAGAAGCCAAATTCTGTGCACGGCCCTCGGACAAGCGGTGTTGATAGTAAGCATGATAAGGATCTGAGGGGTTCAAAAAGTTAAACTTCGCATTCCCTGCATTGCTCAGAACAATCCTTCTCTCAAATTCTGGACCATTCTTAACAACAAACTGAGATGTCTTATCAACAATGCTTCTAATATCAGGAGGTGGGTAAATGATCCCAATAGTTTTTGCATGGGTCGCAACTGATGCTAAGGCTGAACTGTTTTTGTTCTTTTCCTCCTCATTCATTTCCTTAACATCATCTTTGTCCTTTTCTGTCAATTGAGCTAGAGGCAATGGACCAAGATTTCCATCCTCTGTAGCAGGAGGGAGAGGCAATATGGGCAATGACCCCAGCATATTCCTGTCTGAGAGTGAAAAACCATAAGAATAATTAACCATATACATTTGTGTATGTGTGTGTATGTATATATTGAGAAAAAAACATGGAGAGTGGGTGTATAGTGAGTGGCAATATATTAACTAAGGCTGTAACTAGTGCACACATGTATATGACTTTGTTCATATTGGTTAGTTACTATTGCTCTTAATTGCAGGAAAACCAGTTTTAATACAAAGGAAAAATAGTTAGTTCACATCTATATTCTATACATATACATATATATACATATAGAAAAGATCCTGTCCAGACGTCCGGACAGGAGCCGCCGTCCGGCCGGCGGCGTTTGGCCGCCTTCCTGGTGGAATTTTTTGATGAAATTTTTATGGCATGTTCTCCATCAAGTCTAGTTTATCCACAAAAAAATTCAGCCAAAAACTCAATCGGGAAGGTCGTCAAATGATTTTTGCAAGTTAACTGGTCCGGAATATGTATTTTCCGGACCAGTTAACTTGCAAAAATCATTTGACGACCTTCCCGATTGAGTTTTTGGCTGAATTTTTTTGTGGATAAACTAGACTTGATGGAGAACATGCCATAAAAATTTCATCAAAAAATTCCACCGGGAAGGCGGCCAAACGCCGCCGGCCGGACGGCGGCTCCTGTCCGGACGTCTGGACAGGAGCATTCCTCTATATACATATACATATACATATACATATACATATACATATACATATACATATACATATACATATACATATACATATACATATACATATACATATACATATACATATACATATACATATACATATACATATACATATACATATACATATACATATACATATACATATACATATACATATACATATACATATACATATACATATACATATACATATACATATACATATACATATACATATACATATACATATACATATACATATACATATACATATACATATACATATACATATACATATACATATACATATACATATACATATACATATACATATACATATACATATACATATACATATACATATACATATACATATACATATACATATACATATACATATACATATACATATACATATACAGAGTAGTCTTCCGGTCAGGTATACCTGACCGGAGTCCCGTCCGGCCTCCTCCATTTGGGGGCCTTCCCGGTGGTATTTTTTGCTCAAATTTTTTGTGTAGGTTCCTCATCAAGTCTAGTTTGTCCATACCAAATTTCAGCCAAAAATTCAATCGGGAAGGTCGTCAAATGATTTTTGCAAGTTAACTGGTCCGGAAAATACATATTCCGGACCAGTTAACTTGCAAAAATCATTTGACGACCTTCCCGATTGAATTTTTGGCTGAAATTTGGTATGGACAAACTAGACTTGATGAGGAACCTACACAAAAAATTTGAGCAAAAAATACCATCGGGAAGGCCCCCAAATGGAGGAGGCCGGACGGGGGCAGTGGTCCGGCCTGGCCGGACCTGAATTATTCTCTACATATACATATACATATACATATACATATACATATACATATACATATACATATACATATACATATACATATACATATACATATACATATACATATACATATACATATACATATACATATACATATACATATACATATACATATACATATACATATACATATACATATACATATACATATACATATACATATACATATACATATACATATACATATACATATACATATACATATACATATACATATACATATACATATACATATACATATACATATACATATACATATACATATACATATACATATACATATACATATACATATACATATACATATACATATACATATACATATACATATACATATACATATACATATACATATACATATACATATACATATACATATACATATACATATACATATACATATACATATACATATACATATACATATACATATACATATACATATACATATACATATACATATACATATACATATACATATACATATACATATACATATACATATACATATACATATACATATACATATACATATACATATACATATACATATACATATACATATACATATACATATACATATACATATACATATACATATACATATACATATACATATACATATACATATACATATACATATACATATACATATACATATACATATACATATACATATACATATACATATACATATACATATACATATACATATACATATACATATACATATACATATACATATACATATACATATACATATACATATACATATACATATACATATACATATACATATACATATACATATACATATACATATACATATACATATACATATACATATACATATACATATACATATACATATACATATACATATACATATACATATACATATACATATACATATACATATACATATACATATACATATACATATACATATACATATACATATACATATACATATACATATACATATACATATACATATACATATACATATACATATACATATACATATACATATACATATACATATACATATACATATACATATACATATACATATACATATACATATACATATACATATACATATACATATACATATACATATACATATACATATACATATACATATACATATACATATACATATACATATACATATACATATACATATACATATACATATACATATACATATACATATACATATACATATACATATACATATACATATACATATACATATACATATACATATACATATACATATACATATACATATACATATACATATACATATACATATACATATACATATACATATACATATACATATACATATACATATACATATACATATACATATACATATACATATACATATACATATACATATACATATACATATACATATACATATACATATACATATACATATACATATACATATACATATACATATACATATACATATACATATACATATACATATACATATACATATACATATACATATACATATACATATACATATACATATACATATACATATACATATACATATACATATACATATACATATACATATACATATACATATACATATACATATACATATACATATACATATACATATACATATACATATACATATACATATACATATACATATACATATACATATACATATACATATACATATACATATACATATACATATACATATACATATACATATACATATACATATACATATACATATACATATACATATACATATACATATACATATACATATACATATACATATACATATACATATACATATACATATACATATACATATACATATACATATACATATACATATACATATACATATACAGAGTAATCTTCCGGTCAGGTATACCTGACCGGAGCCGCCGTCCGGCCTCCTCCTTTTGGGGGCCTTCCCGGTGGTATTGTTTGCTCAAATTTTTTGTGTATGTTCCTCATCAAGTCTAGTTCATCCATACCAAATTTCAGCCAAAAATTCAATCGGGAAGGTCGTCAAATGATTTTTGCAAGTTAACTGGTCCGGAAAATACATATTCCGGACCAGTTAACTTGCAAAAATCATTTGACGACCTTCCCGATTGAATTTTTGGCTGAAATTTGGTATGGATGAACTAGACTTAATGAGGAACCTACACAAAAAATTTGAGTAAAAAATACCATCGGGAAGACCCCCAAATGGAGGAGGCCGGACGGGGGCAGTGGTCAGGTATACCTGACCTGAATATTTCTCTACATATACATATACATATACATATACATATACATATACATATACATATACATATACATATACATATACATATACATATACATATACATATACATATACATATACATATACATATACATATACATATACATATACATACACATATATATATATAAACGCAAGGTGGTTATGTTTTGAAGATAAGAACGATGAAACAAATAAACTGAGTGATTTGTTTTCCTGTTCCATCATTTTTAATGGAGCCAAAGACTCACTATTTTTTGGCTTGGGAATATGATGGAATAAAGCAAAATGGCTCACTAAACTGTCTACGCTTCTTTATTATGAAGCAGAGGTCAGTGCATGCAATTTTAGACGCGAATTTCACTATGGGTCATCCTGAAACAGTCTCTCGATGCTTTAGTACAGGGGTAAGACTGCGTACATCCGACCCCCCCTTACCCCATCGTAGATGGGAGCCTTTGCGGCACTAGGGTAATGGTGATGATGATGATGATGATTTGTTTTCCTTCTGCTCAGGTGCGGATGATAAAGTTACCAAGAGTACTACAATCACTACTAGAAAGAAATATTATAGAGCCAATACGTACGATTATATGGCTAACTTTTTTGATTAATTTATTGACTTTTTGCATTAGTGCTGCACACTGTCCACAGAACTGTGTGTGAATGTGTGCATGTTATCTAAATAATGTGTATCTGTGGTAACTAGACAGATGTACCAATGAAGTGTACTTGAGAAAAAAAAGATTTAAAAGTATGCATATATAGGAAATGTAGAACAATATTAATAGGAGAAATTAGAGGATAAATATCTTCATTGAAATGAATTGTAAACTAAAATTGTCTCCTTTATCGTTGACTGAATACTCCCAAACTTCACCATTTAGAAACAATTGAGAACAATCATATAATTGGTCTTTCCAATAGAATAATAAAAATTACATAATTTGAAGTTATATACTCACTCTTTCTTTAAAATAATGTTTTGAACATATTTATACAAACACACGTAGATAATAATAGGATTTTATTAATTTTGTTATTGTTGTTTGTTGGGATAGGTGGTCGTGGGTGAACTTTTGGCCTTTTGCATGACCGTTTGACACTAGAGCATGGGGATATACAAATGTTATTTTCATTCATAAAAAGAACATCCTGAGTAAGCCGTGTTTGTACCAGTTTGCCTTGTCTATTCGTATTACATTGTTTTAATAGGAAGCGCGTAAGAATTATTAATTCATGTAGATATATGATTTATTTATTCATAGAAATCTGAAGGATGAGATCAAAAAATTAGGGGACCAACATAACAAACTTAAAATATTTTCAACAACAACATCCAAGCCTTAGTACCAAAAGATTTTGGAGTCGGCTAACATGAATCAATACATAATACCGGATCCAAAATAATAAACTTAAAATATTATTGATTGAAAAATTTTCATTGGTGGTTCTATATTACAATTTTATATTTGAATTGCAATCGTTAAACATTCACTATTTCGTACTAGTAGATGTTATTGGCAATTTGTTTTAATGAATGCTGTGCGCTAAAAGATGATAAAAAAATGTCTAGCAAACTAAGAGAGATTAGTTTCAAGGAACATCCATTGTCAATCATTCTATCAAGTTCATACAGTATTTGTTTAATAGTTTCCCAATATTTACTAATATGTTCAAGGAACTACCTCACTGTCCAAAATGTTTTGGCCTAATATGTTTTATTCTCCATATTACACTATTTATGTTTACACACACAATAAAATGCATAATTACTTAACAAAGAAAAATCCATATTATCATAAATGATGATAATTCAATAGGTTAAAATGAAGTTTCAATATCTAAAATAGGTGGCAATAAAACAATACAAATGTATATGCGCGCCTCTACGTATACAAAATAATTATATTTGAATTTATGTTTTTTTTTTGAATTTATGTTTTGGAAACTCAAAATGTAGAAATGAATAACATATTTGGAGTGTGATTTTTTCCTTGCAGTGACAAGTTTTCTGAAAATAAAACATTAATTTTTTCCTGCCATTTTGGGATCTTAGATAAAGATCTGATGTCTTAGAATTTTCTCAGTGGATTTGGTGATGCATGTGAATGAATCAAAGCTAAATTTGTAGATCTGATGAAAGTTACAAGAAAACACGGTGAAAGTAGTATGTTACCTATCAGAGTTTGCTTAGGTTTCTCAGAGTTTCCTAGGGTTTCAACAAATAACAACATCACTAATTTAACTTAATATTTATAAACAACTATGAATTAAATCAATAAAATAGGACTGAAGGAATACCGGAACTATGGAAGGTGAAAATTGAGAAGGGAAGATTGGCCAAACCGCCGAAGGGTGAGTGGCGGAATGCAGGCGACCGGGCGACGGGCGTAAGGCGAGTGCCGGTGCTGCCGTGCTGCGTGCTGCGTGCTGGCGCCTGCCGGAGGGCGAAGCCGCGAAGGGAGTCGGCGACTTAGCGGGGCGTTCGACACTTCGATGATGACAGCTGACTGGATCGATGAGTTGGCCCGATAAACTTTTAGAAATTGCCCTAAATAGAAATAAAAACGTTTTGAAATTCCAAAATAGGACTTTCGTGTTTTGAAATTCCAAAATAGGAATTTAAACTTTCAAATATTTAAAGCCTAGTAATGCCAAATTTGGCAGAAATTTACTCTTATTCAGGGAATAAAAAACATGATAGTCCTATTTTGGAATTTCAAAACCTTTTTACTCCTATTTAGGGAATTCTCTCATAAACTTTTTGTGAGGGCTGACAAACAGTTGGGAAATACCTTCTAATTACAAGGTTACAGCTTCTATTTTACTAAATAAAGCCTCCAAAATAAATATTTATAAAAAGAAAAAAAAATTAAATATCCAATTTAATCTTCACCGTATCCGTATTGCAGGTAAATTACATCGTACAGCCGGTTGTACCTAGGGCATGGTACAATCGGATTTTTTTGTAATTAGCTGCAACTTCGAGCCTTGTTGTTTTTATAGAGGTTTCGTCCACTTCTCCCAGCTTTATTTCATTCTTTCTTTCTTCTCTATCGCATTCAACCCCATATTCTCTGAGGTTGAAGATTTCCATTTTGTCGTCAATGGAAGTAATATTTCTTCCGCCGATCATTGTTGAACTGTTATTCTACTTCCTGTGTTTCATCCACAGGTTTCGTCGTTCTCCTCATCTTTATTATTTACTTCCGTTTGTTCTTGCGCAGGTTTAGGTTTTGCATCCGTTCTCAATTTCGACCAGTGAAGTTGTAAGTAAGTAATTGTTCTTAGTTTATTTTTTGTCTCGTTGGAACAAAATCATTTTTTTCATTCATTTAATTTTTTTTATGTTGCAGCATTTTTTATTTTATCTAAGAACTCATGCTATGTCTAGTTGTGGAGGTATTTTTTCTAGGAACACCTTCACTATAATTGATGGGGTTATGGGACTAGGTCCAATGCCTAATTGGCCCAGGCCCCAAACTTGGATCAATAGGCCCAACCAACGGACCCAGCAATCCAGATCTCAAGCTGGCCCATTTGATCAAGCCCATCAAGGAGCAGAGGTCCAACTGAGTGGAGGCCTTAGATGGCCTGCCCACCAGCCCAACCGGAAGCCTGCCTTCCGACCTAGTCAGGAGCTCGCCTCTAGCCCAGCAGGGGGCCTTCCGTCCAAGGGGATCAAGAGTCCGGCCGGCCAGCCATGCCGACCCGCTAACCAGCCACGAAGAGTAACGGCCAACAATGAATGCGCTATTAATTATGTATTTAATTCCGTATTAATGATGTAATTAATTTAGCCATTATTATTCGGCAGTTACCGTTTGTAAACAGCCTATAAAAGGCAAGTCGTGATTCAAATACAGACATGCTATTCTTGGCAACTAAAATTCCTGAGCAACTTTCCATTCTCGTATTATATTCTTGATTCTTGCTTGAGTGTTCTTTCGTAGCTTTCCTAAAAGCCTACGAGCGTCCTATTTTGGACCAACATTGGTGCTTTCATTGAGAGCCTCTATTGTCTCTCACATCACTTGAGTAGGAATCACACAGGGAGATGGCCGGAATCTCGACCCGACGTGACCATGTTTCGGTCCATACCGAGGAATCCAACCGGTCTGGCCGCCAGCGGGCTCTCGACAACCACGGACAGGGCAGGGGGGGCGGCACGCCAAGGTGACCTTCGGAACCGGTTGTCAGGCCACGGCGACCTGAGGGCGACGCTCAACCATACCCAGGGGGAGCGCTCGGACCGCAGCCGGCGCGGGGGAGGCCGACGTCATGCTCCGCGCATGGACCCGACCCGACTCAATGCAAGGGTGGAGGCCCTACAGGAGGCGACTCGAGTTCTGGGGGCCTTGGCTCAAGGTTTCCAGCAGATGGTATCTGTCGGTGACGTGGACGAGCATGCCCGTCAAGAAACACCGGCGGAAGTGGAGGTGTCATCCAGGCGGCGTGAAGAGCGACACTCTGGATCCAACCTGCATAGGAGAGAGGAGGTCTCTCAACAGCTTAGCCGAGCCCATCAGCAGGCTGAGATGGGCGCCCGGCAGGGGCGCTCGAGGCAGATGGAAGGAAGCGAGTCCTCTCGCCCCTCTCACCGGGCGAGCAGCCAGACCGGTTCCTTGGCGAGGCAGAACGTGGGGGCCCAGCCTCCTGTTCATAGACGACTTGGGGGCGCCGCTGGACATGCCCAGCCCCGTGCTAGGGCCATCCAGGGGGGTCCACCGCCGGCCGAGGTGGAGGATCTGCGCCATCGCCTCGACGAGTTAAGAAGAAGGGTCGTTGGGGGAGAACCTTACACGGGCGACCTCCGGATACCCTAGCCTTTCACCCGGGCGGTGATGGATGCGCTGTTGCCCAGGGGTTACAAGCCTTGCACCATCGAAACATACAAGGGCACCTCTGACCCCCAACATCATGTATCTCGATACCTCTCCTACATGGTGATGATGGGGTATGAGGATGCCATCCGATGTCGCGGCTTCTCTGCCACCTTGGACGGCCCAGCTCGTGAGTGGTACGACTCTTTGCCTGATGGGAGTATCATGAACTTTCGCGAGTTGGCTCAGCGCTTTCTCATAAGGTTTGCGAGCTCCCGAGACGTCAAAAGGAACTTCAGCCACCTGTTCGGCCTGAAACAGGGGAAGAAGGAATCATTGTCCGCCTTCTTAGCGAGGTGGAGGGCCGAGTCAATCAAGGTCCAGGGACTTGATGACAAGTTCGGGGCCTGGGCCATGCTCACAAACTCCATCCGGTCTGGTGAGCTTTACAAAGATTTCGTCAGAAGTCCCCCCACCACGTACGAAGAAGCACTCGGTCGTGCCGACCGCCAAGCCGGAGGACGCCGTGCAGAAGAAGAGAGATGAGGAAGAAGGTGGGAAGGAAGAGAAGAAGAAGGAAGCTGGTTCTGGCGCCGAGAAAGCTGAAGGCAAGGCCGACAACAAAAACAAATACAAAGGTAACAAGAACAAAGGTAAGGGCAGGGCGGACGTCCCGAGCGGGCCGCTCTTGCCCGTCAAACAATTGTCCGCACTTGCTCAATCGGTCGGGGCCATCCTCGACTACGCGGAGGAGCAGGGACTGATCGACTTTCTGGCAGAATGCGATGTGGTGACCGCCAAACGTAACCACAACCAATATTGTCGATACCACCGGAGAGCAGGGCATGATACGGATGAATGCGTCATTCTCCGACGACAGATTGAAGAGCTCATCCAGAGGGGGTGTCTGGGCCAGTTTGTGGGCAAGCAATGGAACATCCCGCAGAAGAGGAGCCTAACGTGGCAGCGGTCCGACCAGGCTACCACGTCAAAGGAGAAGCAACCCGCCAAGAAGCGAGAGCTCGGCGCCCTTTCGGAGGATGATGAGGCCGACCTGGGGGATGGCTCCCGTAAGCACCATCGGTGCTCATACATCTTCGGGGGACCCCAGGGAGGTGATACCTCGGGAGAGCGGAAGCAATGGGCCCGAGCCCTATACATCGGGGAGATAACCAGGACTCCCGCCGACAAGAAGGTGAAGAGGGATCCCATCTTCTTCACTGATGCAGATTTACCGTCGATGCCGCCTCCGCACAGGGACGCCTTGATGATCAAGATCGAGATCAACGACACTATCATCCATCGGGTCTTGGTAGACAATGGGAGCTCCGTTAACATCATGTACTATGATACCTTCCAGGGGCTCGGCTTGGATAGAAAGGACTTGAACCCGGTAAGAACCCCGCTCTCAGGCTTCACTGGGGACTCCATTGAATCAGAAGGCAGTATAGTCCTCCCTGTGATAGTGGGCTCCGAGCCCTGCGTATCCAAGTTAAGTGTCGAATTCATAGTCGTACGCCTAACTTGTCCGCATAAGATCATCATGGGGAGGCCGGCCCTGGAGGACCTGAGGTGTGTGATATCCCAGGAGTACCTATGCATGAAGTTCCCCACTCCGAATGGTGTCGGAGTTGCTAGGGGAGACCAGCGGATGGCTAGGAGCAGCTATCTAAAAGCTTGCAAGCAAATCGGCCAGAAGGACTTGAGAGTCCATACTATCAACAACAAGGCCATGAAGTATGAGGAGGGTCCGCTCCGTCCTGAACCCACCTCGGAAGTGGAGAAGATCCAGATTGACCCCGAGAAGTCAGAGCGGAAGGTCAAGATTGGAACCGCCCCCCCGGCCGGCTTGAGGGAAAAAATCATCCGGGTCTTGATCCTCTTCAGCGTTGTCTTTGTGTGGGGGCCAGAGGACGTGCCCGGCCTCGACCGAAGCATCGCTGTCTACCAGTTGGCGGTCGACCCGTCGGCAAAACCCGTTCAGCAGAAGAGAAGACATCTCTCCATCGAGAGGAAGGAATTCATGAAGAAGGAGATCAACATGCTCCTGAGTATCAAACACATTCGGGAGGTCCTATACCCGGTGTGGCTGGCGAACGTGGTCCTAGCCCCAAAGCCGCCAACCTGGAGGATGTGTGTTGACTACACCGATCTCAACAAAGCATGTCCGATGGATCCATTCCGAAAATTGCACGCATTGAGGAGGTAACAGCTTCGAGCATAGCAGCCTCACTGTCTGCCAACGTCCTCCCCCTGCAATCGGCTGCCTGGTGCTGGGTGGACGACCTCCTGCGTTACATAGCCGATGGGACGCTGCCAGATGAAGAAGTGGAAGCAAGGCTAGTCCGGCGACGAGCCCCGGGCTACGTCGTCTTAGACGGGAAGCTATACGAGAGGTCCTACAATGGGACCTTGCTAAATTGCCTACGCCCACATAAGGCGGACATGATCGTCTCTGGGGCGTGTGCTCCGCCCACCACGGAGCATGCACAGTAGCTAGGAAGGTCGTCCTCCAGGGATACTTTTGGCCGACGATAATGAGGGATTGCGCCGACTACGCAAGGAGGTGTGAGACATGTCAGAAGTTTCAGAAGAGCCCCGGCCGGCCGGCAACGATGTACACGCCGATCAACACCGCCCTTCCATTCACGAGATGGGGCGTCGACCTGGTCGGTCCCTTGCCAACTGGGTCGGGAAACCGGAAGTTTGTAATCGTTGCGGTGGACT